ACACACACACACACACACACACACACACACACACACACACACACCACGGCCCCCCGGGAAAGTTCTCCTCTCGGCCGAGCGGAATCCGGTAGAATCTGGGGAAGGTCGCCTTCAGTAGAGGCGGCCAGGGCAGCCCAGCCCCACTCGGGACAAAGGGAGACAGGGCGAATCGGCCGCCGGCTAATTCTCAGGTTCTGGGGCCACGTTTTCCCAGGGGGAGGGGGCGGGGGGCGTCTCCTCTCCCCGTTTTCAGCTTACAACCCTCGGCGTCCCGTAATCCCTTTTCTGTCCCGCGCGCCCCCAGCCCTCAGCCGCTCCCTTGCCGGGGAGGGCGAAAGAACTCGGCTCCCTCGTTCAGCATCTCGGGAGCGAGGTGGGAGACCTCAGATAACCGCACTGCTGAGCCTTCAAACCGGGTGGGGAAGGATCGGTCACTTTGGCTGGAATCTCGGCGCGGTGGATTTGACGCCTCTAGTGTGAAAGGCCGAAGCGGGCATCTCCCCTCTCCCTGCCCCATTTCGCTTCCTCCACTTAAGAGGATTCCAGTTCCTCGCCAATATTTATCGGGGAAGGAGGAAAGGCTGCGCGGGTGGCAAGCGGATCCGGGCGGCGAAGGAGGAGATAAAAGCTTGCTTAAACAAAACTCCCCCCCCGTCTTTTAAATCGTCCGGGCGGGCAACAACGGCGAAGTGCAGGTTTCTCTTGAGGTCTTCGCTTCCACTGAAGGGAGCTGACGCCCCGGCGTCGAGGGGAAGGTGGTGCCGCGGGTTGAGGGGTCCTAAGGCGCCCCTCCCGCTTGTCGAGGTCTTTTGTTCAGTCCTCTCACCTCTCGGGGGTGGGGTGCGATTGTCCCGGGACAGCCTCCGCATACCGTGTGACCCTCCAAGGATTATCTATTCATGCACTCGACCCATGCTTGGGAAGCAGATCGGCGCGGTCGAAATGTGGGGCGTCGAGCGTCACGCCGACGGGCTGGTGGCCCGACAGCTCTGCTTTCCTTAGAAAGCGCATTCGAGGAAACGGAGACGCCAGGAGCGCGCGCACGAGCACAGCGCTGCCCGGCCTCGTCTCTGAGCAGGTGGTTCCTCCGCAAACGGGAGTGGGACGGTGCGGGCGAGGAGGGAGGAGGGAAGCCCACGGGAAGGGGGTTTTGGCCGCCCCTGGCGACGCGGACGCTCCCCCCTCCCACCGCTTTCAGCCGGCAAACGGGGCGCGAACGCGGCTGGGCCAGCGTCCAGGCCAGCGGGTCGCCCCGTTTCCGTCTCGGAAGGGAGCTGCCTGCCTTCTCGGGTCTGTAGATAGTGAGAGAGGCTGGCAGGGCCCCGTCGGGCGTTGCTTCCTTCGGGCAGCGGCGGGACTGCGGCGGAGCCGGCCGGAAGGAGCCCCCTTAGCGAAGCAGCCTGCCTCGCTCGGGCCGACCGCCTGCGTTCCATCTCCGGCCTTGCATGGTCGGGCCGGGCCGGGGGGGCGAGGATTCCCGGATCCCTGGCCGCCGTGCTAGCAGGACTGCGAGGCTGATGCGGGGGGGGGCGGGGAGGGC